ATAATGATAATAACAGAATAAAAAATAAATGAATGAAAATAATAATAACATTAATGGATATATATATACACACAACATAAGCCTTCATATTTTTCATTTCAGATTTTTATTCATTATGATTCTGAATCTCTTGATATAATGGGAATTTTATATATATATATATATATATGTATATATATTTTTACGGCGCAAAGATAGATATATAATGGAAGTTCATTATCCGATGAAATTAAATTAACGACTTTCCATAAATAATACTAAGAATGGACGAGCGAGAGAACTTCATCAGAATGAGATTAAGTCATTTACAAGAATCTTAGAAGAGGGTAAAGAGAAAGTCAATGTGAAGAGGAAAGTAAGAAAGGGTTGATGATAGTGATGATAGGGATAATGATGATAGTGATGATAGTGATGACTACTGATACTAATGATAAGATTGGTTATAAGGGCAATAGTAATGATTATTATGATGATAGGAATGCTTATGATGATGATGTTGATGATTATAATGATAATAGTAATGCTTATGATGATGATTTTGATGATTTCAATGATATTAATTGTTATGGTTATAAAGTTAATGAGAATGACATCAATAATGGTATTTATAATGATAGTAATCTATAAGCGTAGAATGATCAGATAAAAGAAATGCATTTATCTTTAAAAAAAACATAATAAAAGAAGTCAATTAATCTACAATATCTATAGAGGTTCCATAGACATTACCTTAGAAATGTAATTTTTTTTATCCATCTTTTATCTTATCTCCTCATCTCCATCGCTCTTTCCTTCACTCACTCACAACTACAACCATCATCTCCTCATCATCATCGATCCTGCATTCCCTCCTTCACAATTACAACCATCATCTCCATTGCTCCTTCATCCTTTCACTCACACAACTAAACCATTATATTGTCATCTCCACCACTCCTTCCTTCCCTCCTTCACAACTACAACCATCTTCCCCTTATCTCCACCTTCTCCACACTCATCTCCACCTTTTCACCCCTTCTCCCCTCATCTCCACCTTCTCACCCCTTCCTCCCTCCTTCTCCAACAGCAACACCGCCTCGTCGAAGTGACCTCCAACATCTGGGGCACCAAGTTCAAGCTGCACGGGGTCGCCTCTTCCCTGCCGGCGAACCTAGGTCAGATCACCTACAAGACCTCGCTCCTGCACCTCCAGCCCCGCCAGATGACCTTGGTGATCACGGAGCTCCGGGAGGACATTCCGCCGCGACCTGACCCGACCTTTAACCCCAATGTGTTTTCGGAGGACGAGGAGGATCTCGGTAGGGTTTGTGTGTGTGTGGGGGGGGGGTAAAAGGGAAGGGGATTTTTTTAATTTATTTATTCATTTTTAGGGGGGTTGTCTCTTTTTTTATTTTTTTATTTACTTATCTTTAGAAAACTTTTATTTTTTATTTTTTATTTATTTTTTTTATTATTAGAAAAGGTGTGTTTTCTTTTTGTTTTCTTTATTTGGTATGGGGTATTTTTTTTATTTTATTTTAGGAGAGGGAGTCTTTTCTTTAAGGGGGGAGGGGTTGAGGGGGTGATGTGGTTGTTCTATTTTTCTTTTCTTTTTATTTATTTCTTCTTATCTTTAACGCTGATATTTCTTTTTTTTTCTTTTCCTATTGTTGTTATCACGCTATCATATAATTTTCATCATTATTGTCATCACGTCATGTCACATTATCAGGTGTGTAAGTCATCATCATCATGAAATTTCTCATCATCACATTTTTCTTTTTTATTTCTCTGATTTGTTTTTCTACTAAATGCTTTTACGTATTTTTATAGATAAAGAAATAACGTCTATTTCTTCTTTTTCTTTTTCTTTACTTTTCTGATTTTTCTATTAAATGTTTTTACATAACTTTTATAAATAAAAGAATAATGTATATTTTTACTTTTTTTTCAATGATTTGTTTTTCTACTAAATGTTTTTAAATATATTTTTTTTATAGATAGATATATAACGTCTATTTTTCTTTTTACTTTTTTTTTTTTTGCTTTTGTTTATATATGTATTTTTTTCCTTTTGTATGTTGGGATGATGTATTTTAAGGTGTATGTATGAATAATAAAATTATGATTTGTGAAAAAAATCTCTTTTTATATTCTTGTATATTGCTGATTATAATCTTATAATCTGATTATGTCACTTCAAGAGCAGGTCGAGTTGTTTGTTGATTACATTAATTGCTTCCATGTAAATGATTATTGAAATTATTCTAACGCCAATTGAAATAGGAATTAATGTTTAGGTCTTTAGGGAATTAGAAAAGATGATTGCAATTAATAGATGAATGTGATTTAATTGATTGACTGAGAACGCCCCCCTCGCCCTTGGCCTTCCTGACGCGCCTCCTTCCGCAGGGGAGCGCCTCGCCTCCCGGAGGGCGCCCGACCTGCCCTCGGACGTGCCGCCCATCGCGCCCATGACGCCCCGCCGGACGCCCTCCTCCTACTCGCGCCAGGGCCTCCACACCAACCTCTGGGACGCCCCCACGCCCGCGCCCGCGCCCATCCCGCCCCCGACGGAGCTCGCGAGCGTCGAGGGCAAGCTGGAGGGCGAGGGCGACGGGGGCGGGGGCGGGCTGGAGGGCGTGGTGCTGGACGGCAGCGGCGGCGCGGCGCTCCTGCGCGAGCTGGAGGAGCACCCGTACGTCGACCTGGCCACGCCCGAGATGCTGCAGCTGCGCGACGGCCTGCGGGCGGAGCTGCGCGGCGAGGCGCACGCCCACCACGCCCTGGCGCCCACGACCGCCAGCGCCGCGCCCACCACCAACCACCACAGCCAGCCCGAGGCGCACGTGTTCTCCCTGGTGCGCAGCTCGGCGCCGTCCAGCCCCAAGCACTCCGTCAGCCACTTCTGCTGCGACGCCGGCACGCTGCAGTCGCCCAAGAACATCGTGGCGCCCATCGTGACGCGCCACTCGACCGCCGCCAGCGCCGCCCTCCTCGAGATCGGCGGCGGCGAGGTGGGGCTCGTGGGCGGCGCGCGGGCGGGCATCAAGACCTCCTCCCCCGTCGTCGCCGCCTCCGGGGCCGGCAGGACGACCTCCTCGTCGTCGTCGTCGTCGTCGTCGTGCGCCTCGTCCAGCGCCCCGCCCAGGCACGAGGAGCTGCGCCTGGTGAGCTCCGACAACGCGCTCCTCCTGCACCACTTCGCCAGCAGCGCCCCGCCCCCTCCCTGCCCCCCCACCCCCGCCGCCAGCGCCGCCTCCACAACCTCTGCCCACAACACCACCAACAACCACCAAACCCACACCACCACCAACGTCACCACCACCAACAACAACAACACAACAATAAAACAACAACAACAACAACAATAACAATAACAACAACAATAACAACAACAACAACCAGAACAACAACAGCAACACCTACTACTCCAGCAGCAGCACAAGCAGCAGTAACAGCAGCAGCGGAAACAGCACATACCGCAGCCCAACACACACACAGGTAATTGACTTCAAGGGGGACGAAGCTGTTCACATTTTCTTCACTTTGGCTTCACTAATGAGGATTGGGGGGGAGGGGGGAGGGGGTAATTAGGGAAGAGGGAATGGTGGGAATCGTAATTAGGGATGATGGTTAATGGTAATGATTGTATTAATGATGGTAATAACTTTATCGATCATATGTTTAATGGTAATGATTGTATTAATGATGATGGCAATAATTTTATCGATCGTATGTACAAACATTAACTTAAAAATCATAGTAAAAGTGATGATAAGATATTAGCAATGTAATTGTATTGAATATAAAGATAAACATGATGATAATTAGATAACTGTGATAGTAATGACAGTAATCATGTCAATGCTAATGATGCCAATGATCGTTAAGATGATGATAAGAATAATAGCAATGATAATAATGATTTAATTACTGTGAAAATAATAATTAACTCAGGGTTTTGATCGTCATTATGCCAAAATATTGAGCAGTAGAAATAAAACAACATTTCTTGAAATTTTTTAAAAATCTGGAAAAAGGGAAACGAGAGAAAAAGAGAGAAAGAATGAGGGAAAAAAAGAAATAGAAAGAGAAAGGGAAGAAAAAAAAAAAGAGAGAGAAAGAGAAAGAGAGAGATAAAAGAAGAAACAAAATTAACCGGGAAAGTTGACAATTTTTTTTTTTTTTTTTAACGAAACATCAAATTATTACAAAATTTGTTCCTTTCAAAATGATACAACAATTAGGCTAACATGCAACTCACAGACACAGCTTGCCGTTGCCAATTACTCGCTTTTCCCGCTTTGCATTTGTAATTGTATGCTTCATAAGTCTCCGTAATTGATATTAAGGTTTGTTTGTTTGTTTGTGTGTGTGTGTGTGCTGTGTGTGTGTGTGTGTGTGTGTGTGTGTGTGTGTGTGTGTGTGTGTGTGTGTGTGTGTGTGTGTGTGTGTGTGTGTGTGTGTGTGTGTGTGTGTGTGTGTGTGTGTGTGTGTGGTGTGTGTGTGTGTGTGTGTGTGTGTGTGTGTGTGTGTGTGTGTGTGTGTGTGTGTGTGTGTGTGTGTGTGTGTGTGTGTGTGTGTGTGTGTGTGTGTGTGTGTGTGCGTTGTCAATTTACCTTGTTCTAATGTATCTGTGTTTCCTATCTACAATTAGGCAAAATCTTTAATGATTTATATATATTTACACTGTTTCATCGATAGCTTTATATTAGAGAAAATTAAAGTATTTGATAATAAGAAAAAAAAGTTAGTTTAATACCAAAATCAGAGCGATAGATTTTTCAGTTTAAAGCAATTACTGGATCAAAATTGTTTTTTTTTTCTTTTTTTTATCAATTCACTTCATATTAATTTCTCAGATACCCTTTCGTATGTATTTATGTCTATTCATTTTTTTTTATTTACATTTATTGCTGACTTATCAATTTATATATTCTGTCTCTCTTATCGCCCTTCCTATCTCCCAATTCTTTATTTATTCATTTATGCATCGTCTCTCGTTCATTCATCCTTTCCCCCACTCACTCATCCCTTCCGGTCTGGCTGTCATTCATCAATAACCCTTATTCACCATCTCTTCCTTTCCCCCTTTTCCCCTCTTCTCCCTCTCTTCATTCTCCTATTTTCTTTCCATTATCGTTTTCTTCTTCTTCCTCTCCCTTCTCCTACAATTACCTCTTTTTTCTTCTTCTTCTTCTTCTTCTCTTCTCTCCTTTCCTAATTCCCGTGATTTCTCTTCTCCTCCTCCTTTATTTATTTTTCTTTCCTCGTCCCTTATTTATTGCCCTTTCCTCCTCCCTTCTTTATTTCCTCCTCTCCCATGCTTTCACCCTTCCCCTCTTCTGCCCCAACCTCCCCTCCACCGTAATTTTTCCTTCTCCCCTCCCTTCCCCCCCATTATCTCCCCTCCCCCATAATCTCCACTTTCTCCCTTCCCCCATAATATCCCTCCCATTCTCTCTATTACCTTACCCTTTCTTCCCTCCAATATCTTCCCGTCCTCCTCCCCATCCCACTATATCTTCCCCCTTTCCTCATTATCTCACCCCTTCCCTTCCCCTCCCTCCTCCCCGTAATCTTCCCCCATTATCTCACCCCTTCCCTTCCCCTCCTCCACCCCCATAATCTCCTCCCTCTCCCCTCCCCTCCCTCCCCCATAATCTCCCACCTTCTTCCTTCCCCATTATCTCCCTCCTCCCTCCCCTCCCCTCCACCCTGACCCCCCCCCCCTTCTCTCCCCCTCTCCTCTCTATCTGACCCCTTCCCTCCCCTTCCTTCCCTCCCCCCACGATCTGACCCCTTCCTTCCCCCCCCCATGATCTTCTCCCCTCTCCCCCTCCCCCCACGATCTGACCCCTTTCCCTCCCCTCCTCCCCTCCCCGCGATCTGACCCCCCCTCCCTCCCCCCAGAGCGAGAGCGGCGGCCCCAAGAATGACGTCATCCGCTACATCGACGAGAGAGCGGCGAGTCCGACGGTCGTTCCTTCACGCCCTCGCCCGCCCGCAACCCACGCCCGCGCCCGCTCTACTGTCGCGCCCCGCAGTAAGAGCGTGGGCCACCTGCACAACCTGGAGCCCGCCTTCACCGCCGCCCACACTCACGCCCACCACCACCACCAGCTGCCGCAACAACTGCACCAGCTGAGGAACATCGACGCTTACCTGGCGTTCCGGCGGTCAGGCTCCCTCAAGGACTCCGTCAAGAAGGTGAGGAGGGGCGGGGGGTGGGGGGGTGTGGGGGGTGGTGGGTGGGGGGTGGGTGGGGGGGTGGTGGGGGGGTTAGGTGGTGGGGGTTAGGTGGGTGGGGTTAGGTGGTGGGGGGTTAAAGTGGGTGGTGGGGGTGGGGTGGTTAGTGGTTGTGGTGATGGGGGTTAGGTAGTGGGGGGGGTTAGGTGGTGTGGGGGGGATTAAGTGGTTAGGTGGTTGGCTTGTTAGGTGCTTGGTTAGTTAGGTGTTTTTTCGGTTGTTTTTCTTTTTCTTTCGCTTCTGTATTGCTTTCTCCGTTGTTTTTTTCCATTCTCCTCTCTCTCTCTCTCTCTCCTCTCTCTCTCTCTCTCTCTCCTCTGTCTCTCTCTCTTTCTCTCTCTCTCTCTCTCTCTCGCTCGCTCGCTCTCTCTCTCTCTCTCTCTTTCCTCTCTCTCTTCCCTCTTCCCTCTCTCCCTCTCCTCTCTCTCTCTCTCTCCCTCTCTCTCTCCCTCTCCTCTCCCTCTCTTCTCCCTCTCTCCTCTCTCTCTCCTCCCCTCCCTCGCCCAACTTTGCTTTATTGATCTATCCATTACGTTGTTTGTCTTAGATTTTGAGATTTGATTCTGAAATAACTGTTTAGGCGACCTCTGGAAATCATGAATGAACTGATGGTATTACTTATCTTTTTTACTTATTATTAATTATGATACTTAATATTTTATTGTACTATTGTATTATTGTACTTGTAATTGATATTTCCTGTTGTATGTATTCATTATTTCACTTGTACTTGAAATTGTGCTTAATTTTAGTGAGCTTTTGGTGATTATTATTATCTGTTTCATCTATTGACTTACTAAACCCATTATTGTGTTTATTTTGGGTGAACTATTAGGATTATTTATTATTAATAGAATGTACTGATTTATTGTGTTAATTTTTCTTCTCCACCACGTCCGCGCCCTTCACTTTCTCTTTTTCTTTTCCTTCTCTTTGTCTTCTCTATCATTCTTGATTTCTTGTTTCCCTTCCCCTTTCTCCCATTTCTCTTTCGCTATTTTCCCTCCGCCTCTTCTCCTCCCCTTTCACCATTTCTCCTTTACCCTCCCCATTTATCCAATCTTTCCCCTTCCCTCCCCATGTACCCCTTCAATCTTTCATCCCTCCCTTCCCCCATTACCCTAAATCTCTCCCCTCATAACCCCTCTTCCTCTTCTACCCCCATCCTTCACCCTTCCTCTACCATCCCTTCCTCTCCCCCCCCCTCGCCTATCCCTCCTCTCCCACGCCCCACAGCGCCAGGACCAAGTGGGCGAGAGCCACCCCCGCGCCCGTGTCTTGCCGACTGCGGGAAGAGCCGAAGTCTAGACTCCTCCCCCTTGATCGTGAAGCGCCGCCTACCACTCCAGACGCACCACAAGCACCACGCCCCCCACCACACTCTCCAGCACAACGCCTCTTCTTCATCACAGACCTCTTGTTCCTCCACCACCACGTCCGCCATCACCAACCACCACCACCGCTGATCTCCACCACCACAGCGCGGGAGACAAACAGCAGAGGAACTTCACCAGAACGCTAAAGGTAAGGGTAAGGGTGGTGGGTAAAGGTATGGGTAAGGGTGGTGGGTAAAGGTATGGGTAAGGTGTAAGGTAGGGTAAGGGTGGTGGTAAAGGTATGGGTAAGGATGGTGGGTAAAGGTAAGAGTAAGGGTGTTGGGTAAAGGTGAAGCGTAAGGGGTAAAGGTGAAGGGTAAGGGGAGGGAGATGGGGAAAGGGGTTGTTTTTGAAGGGAGAGGGGAGTGTAAATGTGGTGAGAGAGAGGGATAGAGAGAAAAAGTAAGAGAGAGAGAGAGAGAGAGAGAGAGAGAGAGAGAGAGAGAGAGAGAGAGAGAGAGAGAGAGAGAGAGAGAGAGAGAGAGAGGGGGAGGGAGGGGGGGAGATGGAGAAGGAAGAGAGAGATGGGGAAGAGAGGAATGGGGAGGGAAGGAAGAGAGAGAGGGGGGGGGGGAGAAAGTGACATAGGCAGGGAGAGAAAGAGAGAGGCGGGGGAAGAAGAGAGAGAGGCGGGGGGAGAGAGGGAGAGAGGGAGAGTGGAGAGAGAGAGAGAGAGGTGGAGAGGAAGAGAGAGAGAGAGGGAGAGGGGAGAGAGAGAGGTGAGGGAGAGAGAAAGAGAGAAAGAGAGAGAGAATAGATAGATAGAGGGAGAGAGAGAGAGAAAGAAGAAGAAGAAAATAGAAGTGAAAAACTTAGTATATAAGTATATAAAGAGAGATGGGGGGGAGATCGAGTGAGAGAGAGAAAAAGAGCGAGAAAGAGAAAGAAGTTAGTAAGTAAATAAGAGAAAGTAAGGAAAGAGCTAAGGTGAGGAGGGAGAATAGATAGATAAGATAGAGAGAGAGAGATAGAAAAGAGAGAGAAAGAGAGAGAGTAAGAAAGCGAAAGGAGAAAGAGAAAGATAGATAGATAGAGATAAATAGATAGATAGGGGGAGAGGGAGAGTAGAGTATATAGATAGATAGAGAACGAGAGATAGATAGATAGATAGACAGAGGGAGAGGGAGAGGGAGAGGGAGAGGGAGAGGGAGAGGGAGAGGGAGAGGGAGAGGGAGAGGGAGAGGGAGAGGGAGAGGAGAGGGAGAGAGAGAGAGGAGAGAGAGGGAGAGAGAGAGAGAGAGAGAGGAGGAGAGAGAGAGAGAGAGAGAGAGGAGAGAGAGAAGAGAGGAGGAGAAGATCGAGGAGAGAGCAGGATAGAGCTAGAGCCCAAGAGAGTGCGGTAGAGGGAGAGGGACGGAGGGAAAAGAGAGGAGGGTGAGGAAGAGGGATAGAGTATGAGAGAGANATCGAGAGAGAGAAGAGAGAGGGAGGAAGAGGAGAGAGGAGAGAGAGAAGAGAGAGAGGAGAGAAAGGGAGAGACGAAGAGGAGGAAGGAAGAGAGAGAGGAGAGGAGACGGAGAGAGAGAAGAAGAGAAGGAGGGCGAGAGAGAGGGAAGAGGGAGAGAGAGAGAGAGAGGAGAAAGAGAGATGAAGAGAGAAAGAGAGAAGAGAAGAGAGAGGGAGAGGGGAGAGAGAGAGGGGAGAAGGGGAGTGAGGAAGGAGAGAGGGATGAGGAGACCCGTGAGCGAGAGAGAGGGGACGAGAGAAGAAAGAAAGAAAGAGACAGGGAAGGGGAGATGATGAACGAGAGAAGAGAGAAAAAAAATCGTCCATCTCCATCCTTCATATCCACGTGTAAACTTCCACCGGCCCCCAAATGGCCCGACCGAAGCGATCCAATCGGGCATCCCAAAACCCACAAATGAACGTGTGAATGTCTGCATGAATTACCCAGCGGCCGTTCCTTCTCCGGAGATGAATATGCATGAGACAACGCAGACTGACAGCTTTATTAGGCGCCTTTATTTTCCTGAGTGTGCGGGCGATGCAACGACTGTTAAGCTCTTTTTATTGCAGGCTCAATTGCAAGCTGGTGTTGCCGCTCAGCGATGCGTCTCGCTGGAGCCCCGGGACACGTCGGTGTTGTTGCGGTGTTGCAGG